GTTTGTGACCCAACTTCGGATCACTTTCTCCTGCTTACAGACCCGAGACAAGTCAGGTACCCTGGGGCAGCCTGATAAGTTCATAGAGGCCAAGCAGGGATACTATGGATGGTTTCCCGTTTCCCAGCGTTCAGGTGAGCAGGTCTTGGAGGCATGCTTCCCCTTCCTCACCCAGCCACATTAAGCTGTTGTAGCACAGCAGATGACCAAGCCCTTGATTAAAAACACCACCACCACCAAAAAATCCCAGCATCAACAGCAAAAGCCTCTCCAATACTTGCTTCATTTAAATTACCTTGGCCTTCACAAAGTCTACTCCTTTGACTGCTGATGCAGCTTAAATGCATCTATAAAAGCAGAATGGAAAGATGTTTTGATCTGTTATAGAAATTTGACTCTATGGAGATGCTGAGAAAATGAACTTTTCTTGAACTGTGACCCAAATTATCTGCTCCTTTATATGTATACAGCAAAATGGCAAGGGTTTTTCTGGTTTTGCAGGTTCGTGAGCTGGAGAATGAACTTGAGACTGAGCTCCGGCGCAATTCGGATGCCCAAAAGGGAGCCCGCAAGTTTGAGAGACGCATTAAAGAGCTGACTTACCAGGTAGGCTGGGAGCTCTAGTAACCACTAGGACACTGGAAAGATACGTGCTCTCCTAGACAGTGTCTAAAGTTGCCTCAGTGTTTCAGTGAAGGATGAAGGATAGCATTACCCAGAGCTTTCTGGCTGTAGGAAGCTTTAGGGGTAGGAGGAACATCTCCCTAGGGCTACCGTCATCTTGCCTGACTCATTCCTAATTCATTCATAATTCCTGATTCATTCATAGCTGATGTTAGGAAGCCTCTATTGCTGGGATTTGGACAGTTTTAGCACAGTATTAATATGGAGCAGGCTTAGATGACTATTATTTTCACTGGGAGTGAAGAAAGAGCCCAGCTGTCTTTCAGCTGTGCTGATGGTGCTAAAAAGAGCCAGGAGGATTCAGCTGACTCTAATGCATCATTCAGTGTAGGGTTGCCCAGTTCCAGGGCTGTCACCTATGGCTGAGCAGTGAGGTCTAGTCTCCAGCCTCCTGCAGGTTTGCTAACAGCTGCTCTTGCTGCTTGCCTTTCAGAAAAGGTCTTCAGCACAGAGCACTGATCCTTTTGCTTTCAACAGCATTCTTAAGAAGATAATCCCATCCATCTGCTGTAGGAGATTATTTAGCCTCCTAACTTGTTTGACTATTGTATGCAGAGGCTGACGGTTGTTCTCTTGGGATACAGTGCATGGGCAGAATTAGCTAGTCCTTCTGCTTATGGAGTGTGACAGCTTAAACCTGTCTCCTTTTACCAGAAACGCCTCCAAACTGGACTTTGAAATATGCAAATTGCACATTTTTAGGCCTGCCCATAAGTCTGTTTCACTGAATAATGACTTGTTTTATAATGACAAGAGTGCTTCTCACTCCTGAGCGAGGAACTCTGTGCTTATGTATGTGCATACCTCTGAAAGAGCACACACATATATACCTGTATTTAGGTACGCCTATACTTACATACGTATAAATTGAGAGGGTACTCTCTTTTAGCCCTGAGCTTTACCAATGTCTTCAATCATCCTATAGACATTTTTCTCTCACCTATACATAGGGTGATCAAACAATACGGCTTGTTTGTATTTTGAGCTATACACTTCTAGAACAGTATGTGTAGCACCTATACCTATTGCACTGTGGGAGATGCTTTAGGCTTTTTTACACTCTCAACCCCATGGTGTTTTGATCCAGTCAGAAGAAGATAAGAAGAATCTGGCCAGGATGCAGGATCTGATTGACAAGCTCCAATTAAAAGTGAAGAGCTACAAGCACCAAGCAGAGGAAGCTGTAAGTAACTACTTGGGCCCTTTTATCTGTGAGAAATCTGTTGTTCTAAATCCACCATCTTCAATGCACAGAAGCTTTGAGTACAAATACACTTCTTGTGAGTGTATGAATATTTGTATTTATATCCATATAAACCCTCTCTGTGCAAATGTATTTATAATATATATATGAAATAAAATATATAGCATGTGTGTGGATTATATTTAAGAAAAGGTATTCAATTTTATCTTAAAATTGCAGTATCATTTGCAAGGGAAAGGGGGAAAGGGATGGAAGAGGGAAGACTTTTTGCTGCTAGTCCCTCAGAAGGGATGTTGAGAGCCTCCCAGTTCACTTACCATGGAGAGTGATATTGGAAACATGGGCTCTGTAAAACAACAATCTCAGCTCTCCAGGAGGCAAATGGTTCCCATATGGCTGTTACCTCCTCACGCTGAGCACTTCTCATCCACTTGAAACGAAAAGCTTTGTTTCACATGGACATGGACGGGAGGAAATCAGCTGCACTGTTTTCTCTCACCAGGAAGCTCAAGCCAATCTGTACCTTTCCAAGTACAGAAAACAGCAGCATGACCTGGATGATGCTGAAGAAAGGGCTGAAATAGCTGAGTCTCAAGTTAATAAGCTGAGGAGCAAGTCACGAGATATCGGCATGAAAAAGGTATGGTTGTGGGTATATGTGACTGTTTAACACACAGCAGTGGATGCTGTGTATGCAGGAAGACCTGTTACATGGTGCATGGACTAGAATTAATTATTGTTTACTACATTTTTGAGTGTCAGTCTACCTGTTGTTTTAACATGAAGGTAAGCCTAACATTTAGGACAGCAACCCGATGCTTAGGCAAAATGCTCTCTGCCCTCTTGATGTTGTCATTTAATCTCTGTGTTCAGCACCCAGAAGTTTTAAGAACTGGTGATTTTGGTTTGGTTTGGGTGGTTTTCTCTTTTTTCTTTCTTTTTTTCCTTTTTCCCAAGGGATATTCAAAAGCTCCATCTCTTTCTCTCTCCGGTGATGTGGATTTCTATGTATGTAATGCAGCCTGGGGATTACTGCTCTAGCAGATTGCAGATACTTTAACATGGCTCTTTCACTGAACTTGTATTGATCTGAAGAGCTGGGTGAGGCAAAACTATCAGTGATTAGTCACTTAGGTGCTGGGAAGTCATTAGTACTTAGAAATGCATTTGTGGTGTTTTGCACTCAAGCAGAATGGTAGTAGAAATATAGCAATGAAACTAAAAGGTGCCTAAGAACTTGGTCTGGAGCTGAAAGCAAACCTTTGCTTACCTGTGCTTGCCTTGTGGGAGTGATAGAAAGTAAAGCTGGGTCAGTGCTTTACCTATTTCATTTGCAAGTGAAGCAACCTGCCATGCTTAACATCTTAAGTTTTATGGGGTCGACAGTTCCCGAGTCAAGAAAGAGAGGAAAAAAACACCTTTTTGTGTAATTCTTGTATTTTTACCCCACTTGATCCCAGCACCTTCCTCCTCTCTTCTGTACCCACGATTCCATGGGAGGAAAGGGTCCAATTTCTGCTTTTATATTGGACTAATAACGTCACCTTCAGCTGATCTAAATGATTGTGGCTGCGGTGACTAGAGCAGAGGTACATTCAAACTGCGTGAAGATCTGACCTCTCACACATCCATGCATGATGAAAGCAGTGCTGTCACTGAAGCTCAACAAGAGGTTTCACAGCTTTTAAGAGTAAAGAATTCCCCATTGTTTTCTTTATATTATTCCATATAAATAATATGGATACTGGAATAGGTGAACCATGACAGTAATTCATACGTGCTGTTTAACACTGAGTACTTACTAGCACCCTCGTTCTGCCTCAAATAGGCAGAAGCTGTAGAAAGGTTTTTATGGCCTGTTTTTATTAGTCTGATGCTAGTAATGGCAGTAGCTGCCAGGAAACATGTTCGGGCAGCGAGTGCTGTCTCCGCTGGGGAGAGAAAGGTGCTGGAGAGACTGCCTTAATTCTCTGGCATTAGAATATACCTTGTCTACTGCCATTAGAGCCCATGTTCCTGGAAATGCTGGGAGGTGTGAGTGATTCAGAACAACCACCACCATGTATTGAAACAGAGTTGTACAGAAGTCATCTGCTACCAAAGGGATGTGTGCTCTGGCGTGAGGACAACAAACCAGTATTATTAGCTGAAGCAAGATGGCAAAGGTTGGCTCGGTTGGTGCTAGTCTGTTTCAGATACAAATTCAGAAGGACTACGGAAGAGAAGCTTTTGTCATTTATTTGTGAACTTACTCTAACACCCCCTCAATGCTTCCATTTTTAACTGTTGTATGCTATCTCCATTTCATTTCAGGTCCATGAAGAGGAGTAAATACAGTCCAAGCTGACAGATAGGAGAAGATGCTCGATATAATCGGGCACAACTGAAAACAGATGTAGAGATAAATAAGCACTTACAGAAATAAACATCAAGTGAAAAGCCAAAGAGACTGTATAGTGTATTCCATTCGTTTATTTATGTTTCTATTTTGCCAAGCCTCGGGGATCAATAGAAGATTACATCTCGCCAACAGCCCACTTCATTATGTTGGAACAAATACTAATTGGCAGATCTCTGACAAAATCAAAACCAAGGGCAAATCCAGTCATGCTTCACAGCGCTTATGTCTTTCGCATGCAGATTGTTAAAGCAGCACAGATTAAAGCTGTGCAGGGCACAGCATTAAACCTGGGATAACTCAGCTTCCATCTGTCCTGCCAGTCGCAGTCTGTATGAGTTTTGGAGGAGAGCAGAAAGTCAACTTTTGCCTACCAACAGTTTAGAAGCTTCCACAGCTCCCAAAGCACTTTTGTTTGCCAGCTGCAGGAGAGAGAGAGAGAGATAGGAGATGCTGTGGAGAGACTTGTCCCATCAGGACTGCCTGTGACTCAGGAACAGGCTGTTCTCTTCCACCTTTTGAACAGGTATGTTGTCTCTGCTTGAAATGAGAATACTTAATGAAGTGCAAAACAGGAAGCCCTCGCCTTCCCTTGTACTGGGGAGGGGAGGGAGGGGGAAGAAAATCCCACAACACTGATTCTTTTCCTGTGGGAAGTTCTTCCCCGTCGCTTTAGAATACCCAAGTTCTCATGTTCCATGCTGACTCCTCACATTCAAGTGTCAATTGACTTAGGTTCATTTCTTCTTTCCACCAGTTCAATTGCTTGCTACCGTTGCTCAAACAATCACATTTCCACGTGGCTTTGAGAGTAACAGGGAAGGTGAAGGGACTCTGCTCTTTTCAGCAGCAATCTCAGCAGCATTTGTGTGTGCAGAGAGGGATTTTCTCCCACTGTGTCAAGGTGCTCATAAGATTCCTCTTCTTTTGTGCTTCTAGTAAAATAAAAAATGCTTGTAAGAACTACTAATGTGTAAACTGGATCCTGTAGTGGGAACAGAACAAGACACACTCACTATCCAGTCAGTATTTTCCATTTTAACATTAGCTGAGTAAAACAAACATAGAATCACAGAATAGTCAGGGTTGGAAAGGACCTTAGGATCATCCAGTTCCAACCCCCCTGCCATGGGCAGGGACACCTCACACTAAACCATCTCACCCAAGGTTCTGTCCAACCTGGCCTTGAACACTGCCAGGGATGGAGCATTCACAACCTCCCTGGGCAACCCATTCCAGTGCCTCACCACCCTAACAGTAAAGAATTTCCTCCTTATATCCAATCTAAACTTCCCCTGTTTAAGTTTTAACCCCCACATAACAGTGGAGAAACATTCCTGTTTCTTCTGTGTATTCCACCAATGTAACTGGAGCTGAGGTAACCTGTAAACTGTTCTGCTTCCTCTGATTGTGATGTGTTAAAGGTCCCATCAGGTCCCATGATAAATGAATCCTGCTTAAATTCCTTAAACAACTGCATCTTGAAAGTATGTTATCATCTCCAAAGCAAGGTAGCATTAAAATTGACTAATAGGCATGCAAGTAAATCTTTAAGTGAGAGCAAAATGAGAAAAGACTGAGACCCACTACTTTTAGAGTTGTCTTTCTGGCGTGTTCTTATTGACCCTTACAGTAACCATCATAAAACATCTCCTGAAGCTTAACAAATTCAGGCTGTGCCAAAATCTTCAGGCCCAGGGAGTTTGAAGGTGTATGTCTCCATGGATAGGACTATATTGTCAGACACAGAAAGATGGATCCTAAGGACTAAGTTCATTTGTTAAGGATGCTCACCACGAATGCAGGAGACAGAGCATTCTAAGACAGAGCCAGCCTATTACAAATGCACAAGAATAAAACGCATCCACTTGAAGATGCTGTACTCCAGTAAATTGAAGAGCTGCAAACAGTATTGAGATCAGGGACTAAATGGTTGTAACGGTCTCCTTAGTTGTTATATTAGTATATATTATATATAACTATATATATTAGTATATATTATATATAATATAAATAAGTATAACTTTTAAGGCTGAAGTTTTGGTGAGCTTTGCCGTTGGATATAATTGACATAGTAATTTGGACCCTAATGTAAGAGTAGCTATTATGTGTGTTTGGCTTATTTGGGGTTTGGTTTTGTTTGATTAGAAGAAAATGAACCAGTTTGGTTGTTTTTAAAGCGAGTTATCAGAAAGTATTTGTGAAGGGTAACCAATTTTTAAGTCTATATAGAGCACAGGGGAGCACCTGGTCAAGGGAAGGGCACGTTAACATTGTTATAACCAACATGCTATTGCGTTCAGGACCAAATGGGACCTTCTGGACACAGACAGTAACAACGAGGACAATTTATTTATGCTGAGAGTCACAGTTCTGCATTTTGATTCTTTCTTGTACACTTTATCCCAGGAAAATCAAACCCATGTTTTAATCCAACAGTCAAGGTCTGGATTTAAGCTTAACAGTACCTCTAAAACTGAATTCCCTAGTGCTTGTACATACCTTGTGCAAGAAGCAGACAAAGCTGAAGATCACTGCCAGCAGCACCACTGCAAGAGTCACTCCTGCCACAAGGTCCCAGGTATTACCTGAATTCTCTTTAAAAATACAAATCCCAACAGTTTAACAGCAGTGCTTGATACTGCAAATGAATGTCCACTATTGCTCAATCAGTACATCAAAGCTATGGTTTTCCTCTTATTTATAGTCTAAAAGCTATGATTTAGGGAAAATGTCTCAGTTCCTTTCCAATGTTACTAATACAATAATGTTCAAGTTGCTCGACCCATACTGTAACGTGATGCTTTAATTATGTAAGTGTAAACAGCTGAAAGCAGATCATTTTACTTAATTGTCCTGATACACAATTCCACCTGTGCTCATGTAATATCATCTGACAATTTCTTAACACAAGTCCCATTTAAAACAGTCAAGTGTTTCAGGCTTCCTTTCAAGGAAGCACTTTCTTTTCCGTTCAAGCACTTCAGGCTTCCTTTCCACTGTTGCATCTCATTCAAAGCATGTGAAAAATCCTACATGCCTCTGGAAATTCCCTATGGATGTCTGGCAAACAGTTAAAATACAGTCACTCCCAAACCAGACCATTTCATCTAGTCATTGCCTTTAGCTTGGCTCTGTCCCCACAAGCAGGCTTATGTTAGCATCTCGTCAATGTCTTTAGTAGAGCAGCTGTAATCTGCAACCTTTCTTTACATAGATCCGAAATGATTGCAAGTTCATCTCACTTTTCCCCTTGAAAGTGTCCTTTTCCAACGGCACTTGGAAACCTTTCTGGTGGTTGAGCAACTGCTGTGCTATGACCGTTGTCCAGTGTACTGATCTAGCTCCTTCCCATATGCCCTACTGTCCCTATCTGCTTGTCTGCTTTCAGGCTGTGCTGGCACAAAGCTAATAATCCCTCTGCTGTCTCCTCTGCTCTGCAGTTCTGTGAGTGGAACAGTAATTTAGCCACTAAAGAGGGTTTTGGTATCACCTATGGCTACTGCAAGATACAAGTGCAGAGAGCAGCAAGAGAAAGGCATTTGAAGAGGATGCTCCGATCATATTTGGCCTGGGCAGGTACATGTGTCTGTCTCCAGTAAATGTACCTGAACTTGAGCATCAGTTAAGTGTGTAACTCCTTGGAGGTGTTCGATGCTTTCCACTCCAGAAGCACAATGCTAGGTTTACAGGACAAAGAAGATCGTGCTGGAATGTGAGCTGCAAGAAAGTGTGCGTGTCTGACTTAACTGTTTTCTTTTAACTCCCCTCCTCTAGCTTGCATATAGCTACTGCCGTTTACAACACACCTGACATCAAGTTTTCAGACTGTAACTAAACTGCAGTAGGGGAGGAGGAAGAAGATAAAGACTATGCAGTTCTTATCACCCATTCTAGCCCTTTTTCTGCTATGTTGCCTCTTTTTCAGGTACTACTGACTTGCTTCAAGTTCTCTTTAGTTCCCAGTCTTTTAGGTGATTGTAATTGCGTAAAATGCCCATGTTACTGTTGGAATGTTTGGGGATTCTTTTTTCTCCCCTTTTGGGCTGAAGTTTTATGAGGCTGCATCCCTAACATTCTATTTCTGAACTAATCTCTACTTCGTTTGCACTTTAATTACAGAAAGATGGAGTCGATCTTTTTTACCCTTCAGTAAGAGTTTCCAAGAGCTAGGAAAGCAGGAAGTCCCAGTCTTGAAACTGGAGACAATGAAATAACTGTTAACTGAGATTTCACCACTGGAAATGTACTCCAGCTCGTAAAAAACACAGGCATGCATACAAACATACAAGCCCAGGTGTGAAACATCACCTGCTGTGTAGAATGAAAGCTTTGTGTGCTCTCCTCAACAAAGTTTCTTCTGCAGGTAAATTCCTATCACACTTTAGGGCTTCCCTTCACCCCCGTCACCTTTAAAGACCATATTTGCCATCAGCAGAGCATCTAAGACATGATTCTGAGAGTTTCCTGTGCCCTCAGCTCTGAGGGCAGCCACTGATTTTGAGACCCTTGCCATAGCAAGCTGCTGACTGAAAACAAGAAACTTCAGGTCCTTAAATCAATCCATCTTGAGCAACATTTCTTTCTCCATGGGACAACAATAATAAAACCTCACTCCTACACCCTTGTATTAATTGCTCAAGGTGATGCTTCTCGCTCTGTCACAGATGTCTGACCGTCACTTTGGCTCTGCGGTCCCCTCGCCGGTGCCCATTTCCAAACTGGAAAGAGTGGCCACTTACCAACTTCCAGAGCTCTCACAGTAAGCGTTGTGTAGTGAGGTGTTGAAACGTTGCACAGATACTCTCCACTGTCGCTTGCAGTGAGATCATCCAAGATCAGTGAAAAATCACTTTGGTTAACCCGGACTCGAGGCTGGTAAGAGTGAGATGTGCCGTTGTAGGAGGCCAGCACTGAAATCACTGCATTTCTGTGCAGTGTCCAGACAACACTGAGACCTTCACTGACAGCAGTCTCACTGCTATATCCACAAGGAATTGCAATGCTGCTTCCTTCTGCATTAGACAGCTGGTCTGAAACAGATAATTGAAGAACTCTCTGCAACCTCTTTGGAAAGTACAGTGCAGGTTATCTAGACGTGTTCTGACTCTCTTCTGGAGTCTGATACAACTACAGACCAACATAAAAGCACATGTCACTATTTCGGTATACTCAACTATCACGGTATGTTTCCAGAAGCATCTGAAGATTTTAAAAGCAAACCTATCTTGCATCAAAAAATATCCAGTTGGTACCTAATACCAATAAATAATGTGATCTAATGTCAAAAATATCTAACTTGGCATCATATACCGAATTATGGTGGTGTCTTTTGCCTGTTTCTGCTCTACTTGGGGGGCTCAAAAATGAAAGTGATTCAGTCCAGTCTAAGTCACAAGTGAAGGAGCACGAAATTCCACATGTTGGGAGCAGAGACAAACTGCAACCTTCACATTCGAAGTGCAAAGGATGAAACTGTTACAACGCAAGTGAATTAAAAGACTAAAAGTTTGTATTTAGCTAGAAATGATTTTCAGCTCTGGTGGACTGAGGTGTTTTACACGTGTGAAACACAATGAATGCATAGCTTTACAGAAAGAAAGAAGGAAAGAGCAGGTTCAGTGGAACTAACAGCTAATACATGAAACACCAGTGTAAGACACATGAATATCATAGCACAGCTACCGATGTGACAGCAGGGATTTGCTGCAAAGGAAGCAAAACCAGAGGCGACTGGGGAGGGTGGCAGGCTGCTGCAGAAGGAACTATATGTTATTCTGACACTTGCTTTCGGTGTGTGGGGCTGAATGATCAGAGCTGCAGGACTGAAACCCATGAGGACAAACCACAACTGTACCCCACTGTGCTATTACACAAGGAAAAGGAAAGCAGTATGTTTTCAGAATGTTCTAGCAGGAGGAATGATGGATGCAGGGCAATTCAAACAAAGGTGTCATGAAATATGCCTTTTTCTCTTGTGGATCAGAAGGCTAGATTAACAAAATAGACACTTACAGCGCTCTTGTGAATTAATACCATACTTGAAACCTTCCATGTGGTAAGCTGTCCTATGTAAACTGAAAACTGCACTCGTGTTCTGAAGCATATGCAGTAGATTAGGAACTGAGAGTGTCTGGGTACACTTTAAAGGGAAATCAGGGCAGTGGAAGCAGCCATGCACATCTCACAAGGGAACTGCTCTTCATCCAATGAAACAAGTATTCCCTAAGAAACAGGAGAGCTTGAAAAGTACCAGTTACTTACTTGAACTGAATTGCCAATGAAGTTGAGGAGGAGGATAAAACAGTGAGTTAAAATTTCATAGTCCTTTTTTCCTTAACTGACAAAGTGAGCTGTGCTTTGCTCAAACGTGAACAGTGCTTGCTGCTCTCCACTCCCATGCACCCCAGCACTCAACCTGGGCACTTAAGGATGCACTTGAAGGGAAGTACAGTGAAAGGATCAAGCAGGACTGAGCACAAGATGGGAAATGGACTGAATAAGGAGCCTCTAGAGCAGCAGGCATCTTTCACCTTCCTCATATAACCCACAGGATCACTGAGGTTTCCATGTATTTTGTCTGCAGTTCCATTATTAGCACCTCTTGAAATGTGAAACCAGTACAGAGGAAATGTTCAGAATAAAGCTAACTTCAGAAGCATGAGCTACCCTCTCTCAGCCCTACTTCTTCCAATTGATGAGTGTCAAAAGGAAGGTGCATCCTTTGGCATCATCCCATATCCATGTTGCCCCACTGCAGAAATACTGTATTCAATCTGGGTCTGAAACCAGCTGTGACACTCAGCAATGATGCAGGAAGAGACCTCATTCCTACCTTGCATCTTCCATTCAGCAGCCCACTCTTCCTCAGGCAGATGAATATAACAATAATAAGGATCCACTGTGTTTATAATGTTCTGGTCACTTCTAAGAGAATAGAGAACTCCATCCCTGGTTTCTTTCCGACCTGTTTCTCGGCTGGATTTGTTGCCTTGTACCCAAGATATACGTGGTGCTGAATAAGTGAGAAAGGCATAGCACTTGAGCATCCTTTCTTTGTTTGTCTTTTGGTATTCCAATGCATAATAAGAGGATACTAGAGATAGAAAAAAAGAAAATAAATCAATCCTCCTACTTTCAAAATCCTTTTTAACTTGAAGTGACTGGTCTGTTGAAATAGCATTAGGGAGAATAAATGTGACTGAGAACAACATTTAAGCTGTGTTTGAATTCAGAAGCATAGCACATGAGAAAATCTGCTGCTATAATCCCATTTCCACTGGCACAATCCAACCACTTTTGATGTCTCACTGACCTTTTACACGCAGCGTGACTTCCACTTCTGTTTTAGTTTGCTGGGTTCCCACGTAGCAATTATAAGGGCCCTCATCAGTCAAGGTCAGGTTGCTGAGTTTCAAGGAGGCATTTCCACTAGGAATGGTTTCATGGAAAAGGTGTGTTCTGTGTCTGTAATCCGGGTTTTGACTTTCCAGCTGATCCCTCTGGTAGTAGTAGCTGTGCACATATTTGTCCCCTTTCTTCCAGTAAATTACTTCATCACTCCCAGGTGGGAAAAGACAGGGGAGAATGCAATCCTTGGAAAACAGTCCTGTTACTGTTTCCTGTTCTGCAAAACCTGAAGCCCATCATTACAAATGAGTAACTTCAATCTAGTCTACAAGCATATTTCTGCCCCTTCTTATCCCTGGCAAAACAAAAGGCAGCACATTCCTACCAAGCATACCAACAGCTTTTCTGCCATGTGAGTCTCTGGGACAGCAAGGGTCTTCATTCAGTTTAACCAACATTATAATACAGAGCTGTGCTCTTTGATCTTACCATCAGTTTAAGTAGCTATTCTGAGGAAGCACCTACGTGTTTAAATCAGCACACCCCCACCTTAGCACCTGAGCTTTCCAAAAGCACCACCCTGACCCTCAAAACCTTTCAAGCTGCAGCTTGCTGCTCGCTCAGCCGTTCACAGTGCATGTTGCAATGACCCAGGTTACCAGTAACCCTCACCTAGTGCCAAGCTATTGTACCAGCACAGGAGAAAAGAACACGATGCTTCAAGTGAGAGGAAGGACAGAACTTCTTGAAACAGCTTCAGCACCACAAATGAAGCTCGGGGAAGCTGCTCAAGGAGCTCTATCCCAGCCCATGGAGTCAACTCAGGTGTGAATTCCCCCAACTCTTTCACACAAATGGCAGCATCCAACTGCTGTTAACATTTAATTTAGGCCTTACTGGCATAAAAGAACGACTGGAAATAAATCTTTTAAGAGACCTGACTGTATTAATACAACATTGGCATATGGACCTTCTTGGCCAAGGCCAGCCAACCTGTTAAGCTGGTAATGAGCATCCGACTGCAGCTGGCTTCTTGGACGTTTTGATGCCCTCTTGAGCTCATTTGGCAGGGTAATCTGGATGCCTTAGTGCAAAGTCAGGCAATGTACTTCAAGTCATTTCCAGTATGGCCTGACAACTACTGCCTGCTGAGCAGTGACACAGTGCACTCCACCAGCTAGGAACATTGTCAGGTTTGGGTGCTCGATGGCCATATGCAGTTGTCTTTTGCTTCAGAAGTTTTTTACATTACATTTACGTTAACAATCAGTATTTAATTAATTCCCCCTTAGTTACAAAAATGAGCAATAGTGTCTCTTATTTTCCATAGAGGTAAAACCTACCCCAAATTTGAAATAAATATATGAGAAGAGATTGTATTTTCTGTCCCTTCATGTCTTCTCTGGTTCACAGTAGACTCGTGTCAAACCGACAGCATGAAATGAGGGGAGAAAACCTGTTTAAACACAAACAAAAGATGTACTCTCATTATGTACAGTATATTAAGGATTATTTGTACAGTTTATTAAGGATTGTCATTCCTTTGCATCACGATTTTTGTTTGCAACAGATTTTTGGCCTTAAGATCATTATGCAATGCTATAGATGTCGTAATGGTTGAGGCCTCTTCTTATCGTGTAATCCCTTGCTGATCACTTTTAATAAATAGGAAGTGATCACCCTCAGTGTTCTTACAGGGCTAGGGAACACGAACCTTCATCATTCATGAACAGGACAGCAAAGAAAAATGATTAAGTACAGTTTCCACGCTGCTGTGAGACATCCCCTGTCAAGCCAGCTTTTTCTGCTTACTGAAATGTATTGCTGATTACTGCACCATTTGACTTCCTGGGGTAGGGAATTAGCCTGCATTTGCAAATACTTTCCTTCTACCCAAAGATTAGGTGCCATACCTAACTGACACAGGGCATAAGTTTAGCCAGGACTGCTAGCCAGGTTTTAACACTACGGACTAGTTTTAACTGGTGTGTGTGACTGTATTTGTGGTGGGTGTGAATGTTACACCCCATGGATTTTTGCGTGTTATTTCTTTTGTAAAGCTAGTGTGATTATTTTATGTATTCTCACTTTTTTTGGGGGGGGGGGGGAACCCCAAAACCAAACAACAGAGGGGCACCAAAACATTAAACCTGAGAGAGTTGATGCAAGATTAAAACAAACAGGGTGTACAATTTTGTTCCATGTTAGCAGCCATTGCCAGGATGTACCTACTTTTCTCCTTGCATTGCCTACATCATGTTTGGTTGGATTTTTTGCTCATTTGCCCATCACTTCCAACTCGATTGATACAATATATTGTGCTTGGTGTTTGAATTTCAGAAACTGCAGTCAATACTGAATTTCCCTTTGTGAGTGATCTGCCACATACAATAGACAATCACATCCAACTGGCAGTGATGCTCTGAGTAACATCCTTCCAACAGTACCTCTGTGATGCCTTTTGGGGCTGCATCAGGGAGTGAAGCCTGGACAGGGACAGCACGGGCTACTTCACATCATCTAGGTGACTCCATAGCAAGCGCTGTGCTGAAACACAGAACTAGAACTAGTCAGCAGAAAGCTTCCACATTCAGCACAACTCTTTAGTGTGTTGAGAAAAAGGTTTGTTGGTCTGCAGGAAAACCTGAGGAGTGGAGGCTCTGGCCACTCTGCAGCGGGTCTGGGGTCTTTACAGGCATGAAGTATACATGTGCAACAAAAATTACCTATTCCTTGGTAAAAAGGATTCTGATTAATTCCTTTTCAAGGTAACAGCAGCACATTTCAGGCATACATACTTAGGAGGACTGGAAATCATAGAATCACAGAATAGTCAGGGTTGGAAAGGACCTTAAGATCATCAAGTTCCAACCCCCCTGCCATGGGCAGGGACACCTCACACTAAACCATCTCACCCAAGGCTCTGTTCAGCCTGGCCTTGAACACTGCCAGGGATGGAGCATTCACAACCTCCCTGGGCAACCCATTCCAGTGCCTCACCACCCTAACAGGAAAGAATTTCCTCCTTATATCCAATCTAAACTTCCCCTGTTTAAGTTTTAACCCATTACCCCTTGTCCTGTCACTACAGTCCCTAATGAAGAGTCCATCCCCAGCATCCCTATAGGCCCCCTTCAGATACTGGAAGGCTGCTCTGAGGTCTCCACGCAGCCTTCTCTTCTCCAGGCTGAACAGCCCCAACTTTCTCAGCCTGTCTTCAAATGCTTGAGGATTTGAGTTTTACCAACAAGCAAACAAGACAAACAAACGTGTAGAGTTCTAAAAGCCCCACGTTCATCACACACTGCTGAATTCTTGCCCTAGCTCCAATGATTTTAGCTTTCCACAACTCCACTGCTGAACCCTTCAGGGAGCACATTCTGTAGCACAGAGAGAATTCAATCTCTGCCTCCCCCCAGTGAAACCCTCACAACTTAAACGCTAACTCCAGGCTTCACTTGCTGAGAAACGGTCCGAAGGCACACGGTTCCCACATGCTAAACGTCCAAAATTGTCTTAGGAAGTAGCAAAAACTACTGCGTTTTAGCTGTTACGCACATACCGTATTCCTCCCCCGTGCCGTACACCATAGAGCTGTTATAAGGATAACAGGGTTTTTTTACCTCTTATGATTTCACAAGTAGCCCAAGGAAATCAATCTTGTCGTTTCAGGTGTTTCATGCAGGCAGGATTTGTGTGTGTGTGTGTATATATATATATATATATATAAAGGAAATGAATATACAGTGCTCCCAAAGCCGTGGAACTTGGCGTCTGCCCGTCCCTTTCGCTGCCTCACCTTTGCATACCGTGGCTTAAACATTTACAAGTCCTTTCCTGCCTCCAAATCAAGTTTGCTTACCTGGCGTGAATCATGTTTCTATACACATAAAGCCTCCACTGGTTTCGCTTTCTTTTCCCCACCTTTGAGCGTACAAAGCTTTTTCTCTTAGCCTTTTATTTTGCCCGGCTTTGTTGAACAAACCCTGTCATGTTAATTGTCAGAAAGGTGACTGCTGCAGCAGTGGGGATGGCACCTGGGGGCTGTGTTCCGGTATTAGGGAGCACGCTGTTGAGCCTGGAGAAGGGAGGGCTGCGTGGAGACCTCAGCAGCTTCCAGTGTCTGAAGGGGGCCTATAGGGATGCTGGGGAGGGACTCTTCATTAGGGACTGTAGTGATAGGACAAGGGGTAATGGGTTAAAACTGAAACAGGGGAAGTTTAGATTGGATATAAGGAGGAAATTCTTTCCTGTAAGGGTGGTGAGGCACTGGAATGGGCTGCCCAAGGAAGCTGTGAATGCCTCCTCTCAGCCTGAATGGTGCAATACGCTCACAACTTCGTAAACGTTTAACTGCCGAACCGGCACAAACAAGCCGGTCAAGCAGCCCGTGAGGCGGAGCACAGCAGCAAAGCTTTCCGGAACACACCTCCCGCGGTGCCCTAAGGCTTTACCCGCACCGTAAAGCTATATTCGCTGCAGGCAGTGTGAAAGGAGACGCCAGTGCCCCCCCCCTCAGCCCCAAACACAGGAACGGCGCCATCTTCCCCATTCGCCGCTGCCTCCACCGCCACTGAGGCGAACCGACAGCCCCGCCGCTTCACTTCCCCTCACGGCGGCGGCGGCGCTCGGCTTGGGGGCCGAGGTGAGGCGCTGATTGGAAGTTGACCCCGGCATGCCTCGCCTCCATTGGTGGATAGCGCTGAAAAGGCGTGGCCTCGCGGCGCCCCTGGAGCGTGTGATTGGGCAAGGAGGTGGGCTTCGAGGCTGAGGCAGGCGGGGATTGGCAGGGCCGGTTGCCTCGGTTACGGGTAGCGGCGCTCCAAGATGGCGGAGGAAGCTACGGGTGGCGGCGGGGTCAAGCGAGGGGACCGAGACCGGGACCGGGACCGAGAGCGGGACCGGGACCGGGATCGGGATCGGGACCGGGATCGGGACAGGGATCGGGACCGGGATCGGGATCGTGATCGGGACCGGGATCGGGATCGGGATCGGGATCGGGATCGGGATCGTGGCCGGGATGAGGAGTGCGCAGCGGAGCGGGGCCCGGGCGCGGCCTATCACATGTTCGTGCTGATGGAGGAGCTGCTGGACAAGCTGAAGCTGCTGAACTACGAGGAGGAGGCCCTGCGGCGCCACAACATGCGGCCGCTCTCCAGGTGCCCCTGGCCCGCTGCGCTGGGCGGCGGGCGGCGGCCTGGCCCCGAACGCGTTCGAGTGGCTGCGGGCGAGGGGGGCGGCTGGGGCCGGGGGCCGCGCTGCCTGGTACAAAGCTCCACACGGGGGGGGCCCCTCGCGGCCAGGCCTGCGGCGAGAAGCGGATGGGAAGCCCCGGCGTGCGGTTCCACCTCTGTGTCAGGGATTAAGGAAGGCTGGGTCTCAGGTGACAGAGCCGAGTGGGAACCAGTCAGCTGCATGGCGTCAGGCTTTCTAAACGGGAAGTCTCTCTGAATGGTGGGGTGTGGGAAGTGAATAGTGACTTGAGCTTCCCTGCCCGCACTAGGTGTTGAGTATTGGAGTGACAGTGTATCTGTGCAAGAAATAGTTTACCCTAAATGCGTTTCTTGTATTCAAGGTAACTGGTTGTGGGGTGTGTGTAAGGGGGCCTGCCCCCACTGTGTTTAAGCCTGTTTTTAACATATCACATACTTGTTTCATCTGTAATTTCTTTTTGATTATGGTAGGAGGCAGGGAACTTGGGTAAATGGGACCACTGTGCTCCCAACATTCACTTGGCCAAATAACTCAAACCCGTATGTGTCAGCCAGGCTCCACTGCAGCATGTCACAGTGTGACTTTCCATAGGGACAGTTTGGTATCAGGTGACAAGTAGTCCAGATTATTACCTTGTTGGGAAAGAGGCTTGAGTATGAGTGCAGTGGCTATGGGCTGGTTTTAGCCAGCTGTCAGATCATCAGTACATTTGGAACAAGGAAGTAAACCTTTGTTCATGACTGTAAAGGGAAGCATTTGGTTCTGACTTACACTTCTGGGGGCCTGACTGTGTTCTGACTACTGAATTCTTGTTAGGACCACATCTTTCCATTTAGCGTGATCCAAAGAATATCCAGTCTGTGTACCTTGCTCTCTAAAGCAATCCACATCACAGTAGGTGGGGATGGGTGGAAAGATGGCTTCAAAACCCTGCTCCTGATCTGGCCTAATGCACTGATTTAGGTACATCAGCCTCTTGCCACTTCTAAGGAGTGTGGGAAGAGGTTTGGGGAACTGGAGCAAAAGGGACTGGTTGTATTGCTCTTGTCAGGAAGAGTGTTTGAGGATGCTGAGAAGATAACAGCAGGTGAAGTTACTGTGCATAATCATAGAATAGTCAGGGTTGGAAAGGACCTTAAGATCATCCAGTTCCAATCCCCCTGCCATGGGCAGGGACACCTCACACTAAACCATGTCAGCCAAGGCTTTGTCCAACCTGGCCTTGAACACTGCCAGGGATGGAGCATTCACAACTTCCTTGGGCAACCCATTCCAGTGCCTCACCACCCTCACAGTAAAGAATTTCTTCCTTACATCCTATCTAAACTTCCCCTGTTGAAGTTTGAACCCGTTACCCCTTGTCCTGTGTCATGGATGAGGCCAATATGCAGAAAGAGGCCATACCTCTTCAAGCAATGAGGCTTCTGTAAGTTTGTTCTCTCCTCCTCAAGGAAGGGCCATTCAAGTTTTCCTGCAGTCACTTGCTGTCACGATTTCTTATTTTTAAGGAGGCAGAGTCTCTTAATAGGCTTTTAATTAATGGTGGTATTTTATGATGTGATGGGATGGATTCTGCATCCCTTAAATAGGAGCAGAGTTGAGCTCATCATGACTTGAGACTGTTCAGGTAAATAAGAGGGGTAACTTGTGCTTATGTGGAGATGTTAGTTTGGTGGTGTTTAACTGAAGCTACGTAATCCTGCTGGCAGGGGAGGGGAGTACCCTGTTTCCATGTGATTCCTTGGAGTTCTGATGTTTATTATTAGCTTAATCAAACAGATGAGCTGCATGTAGAAAACTTAGTCTACTGTTCTGTTATGTGTGAAACTAGACATCCTGAATTTAGTTCAGGCAGATCACTCATTGAAAGACTCAGTTAAAGAAGCTGCTCTCTAGCCTGTGCTGCTATGATGCCGTAATAGCATGAGGAGCCCAAAATAGTTACCATCCTTTTCTTCTGTTTAAACAGGCACTACTTTGCACTGCCCACTAATCCTGGAGAGCAGTTCTTCATGTTCTGCATGCTTGCTGCCTGGCTGATCACTAAAGCAGGACATCCCTTCGAACAGCCCCAGGAATATGATGATCCCAATGCGATAATATCCAACGTACTCTCGCAATTGCGATCGTTTGTAAGTGTTGAACTTGCTGGGTTTCCCCAGGGTATTTCAAGCATGTGCATGGCCTTCAGAAACACTTCTGTCTGGTGTTCCTAAGGGCTGGGCAGATTTTCCTATCTAGAAGTTTGTTAATTAGTTAACTGGAAGTTCATATGGTCTTTACCTACTTGCTGGGGTTTTGCCACTACAAAATTATGTATGATTCCAGTTAGTTTTGTTCCACATTCTGTGAAATGGATTAATCTGGCTTACTTCTTGTAGTGCCACAGAGGTTTCTCTTGTACAGCAGTCTAATTTACAATGACTTGATCTGGGAAGTTTACACGGTGCTTGTGATCCCGCTTCTGGCACAGTCAGCGATAAAAGTCACGGTGAAGGAAATGGTCTAGAATTATGTTCGTGTTTTCCTCTACTAGTTTATTGTTGTTGTGAAGGAGTAAAAGGTTGCACAAACTGCCAGGAGCTATAGGGATTTTTTTCAGTATTAAAGAAAACAAACCCAAAGGTCAGGAGAATATATCAGCTTATGGGAAGTATGCACGATTACACTGTGGTGCAACTGTGAATGATCAGAACACTGTTCTCTAAAGGACTTAAACCATAAACAGAAATGCTTATTCTGCAGAACAGCAGTAAATAAAACAAGGAACAAACAAGGCAGTGTTGAAAGTCTCAGTACCTGAGTTTCTCCGTGGTTCTTACCTTGCCACCACATCACTTGTACACTTGACCATCTAGTTCCCTTCTGACTCTTCTCCTTCCTTATGACTATGCTTTTACCAGGTGCTTGAAGACTTCTGCATCTGTTCCTTGGCTTGTTCTGTTTTCCTTTATGTTTGCCTGGCTGGAACTGCATGGGGGAAGAATATGAATTAGCATTAGTAAAATCTTCATGCACGATGGATGCTTTGGGTTTAGTGTAAAAAAATCTCGTTACTTGGGTTGATGGGCAGCACTAGTAAACAGCATATCTCTTTGTTTTAGGGAAGGCCTGTGGATTTTCCTCCCTCAAAATTGAAGGCAGGTTGTGGAGAGCAAGTGTGTTATGTTCTTGATTGTTTGGCTGAAGAAGCCTTGAAATACACCGGTTTTAGCTGGAAAAGGTATAGTACACTTTTAAGACTTCTCCCTTATGCATTGTTTTCCAATAAACAAATATAAGTTGTAATTATAAAGACAAAACATAGTAATGACTATAAATGTCTTCCTTGATGTTTCATAAGATGCAGAATTTTACTAGGCTTGAAGCAGTGGGACCAATTAGTTCCTATTGCAATGTCACACAATTTAGTCTGCCACCACCAAGGATGAGTTTGGGCTGTTACTAAACTTAGCTATCAATAAAGATCTGAATGATGACTCT